GGTTTTCCTTCCCCCAAGAACAGAAGTCTGAGAAAAATTGGTTTTACTGTGAAATTCACTTCTTTGTCTAGCTCTTACTGCATAATTTATAAGCATTTTTGATATTCCCCATCCATTTTTTATTGGCTTTTTTTCTTCTGCTTTTTTGACGATTTTTTTTTTTTAATTTTTCATGTTAATAATTATTATTGCGAAATTAAGTAGTGTTCCATTTAGAATATTTGTGTCCAATTCTGAAAACCTCAGTTGCCTTGTTCTCGATGCGCAAGGGATCTCAGCCGCTCATCAGTGCTGTTTTTGATCTTTTCAATGCTACTACAAAGAAAACTTCTCTGTTTCTCGACAATCGTTCTTGTGTGGCCGACATACATTCGGTAGGTGTATTTTTACTCAGCAGAAATGTGAAAATTATTTTTTTTTTTTTTGAAAACAATGATTTTATCAGCCCTGGCTTAGATTAATTTGTAGTGGCCTGGAGTGACCCTGTGGTGGCCAGTTTTTTGACCTGCAGTGACCACTATAACACTACTAACGTGAAATCGTCTCGTGAAGTCAGGCCACTTATTTCTGTAATGATGCTCCTGTACGATGTTCCAGTTCCTGTACGAACTAGGTTATTACAGAAAAAGATTTGGATTTCAATTGCGAGCCCTTGATTTTGTTTGTTTTCACGTACAAAACCGTGTTTTCTTACCCACTGGGTTAGTTGTACCCCTCAGAATTTTAAAGTATTATACAAGTCAAATTTTCTAGTAAATATGTTAACAGAAAGAAGGCTAATTCTTTGTCATCTTATTGCAGTTATTGCCCGAGTTGCTCAACATTTACCAGCGCGAAGAATTCGAGCGTTACAAATCAGTTGAAGTTGATATCGAGGAGAAATCTATGGATCTGATACTGGTGTTCGATATCCTTGCTAATATTCTCAGCAAAGAGTTCATCTCTTTCAGTGGCACCTTATCAGGTTTGTTCGAATTAGCATCAGAAATGTCAGTAACTGTATAAAATTCAAAAGCTATCGAAAACCTTGCCAGACGGTGATTGCGTTGGGGCGTGTTAACCTCGGAAGATGACCGAATATCTCCGCCTATCATGGAGAACAAACAGGGGCGGGGTTGTTGACTTTTGACTTTTTTAGACTTTATTATTTTGATCAGATTTTTTTCTGCCGTTATCTTCTCCTCGTGACACAGCGAGCGCCATTCGATCTCTTTACGTCACATCCAGGTTACTTCAGATACGGGTTTGAGCGGATACTTTCTACTGGTTATCCTACGAATGATAGTTTAACATCTCCATCTTGCATATTTCGTTATTAGGAGTTCCTTTGTTGATATCTAGAGGATATCACAGTTGGAATGCTTGGATCAGCTACAACTTATAGTCACGTGCTACAGCTGTGCAACTACCAACATTTCCAGTTGTTTTGACTAATGCTGCTCCGTGGGGACTCCGTGAAAAACCGGCCAAGAAGCCGCCACAAAGAAAAAAGTAAGGGAGGTGCATCTTGCCTTGAAAGGCAGATACACAGTAGATGTGCTACCAGGTTAAATCTAGAGCACAAGGACAGGTGGTGTAGTGGTTGCACATTGCGTTTGGACGTGCAGAGGAGTGGTTCGATTCCCTCCTGGTCCAGAACGATTTTTGAGAAGGGGCAACGTTCACCACGACTTTCTGCTTTCTCTGATGGTCAGCCTTCTGCTGATTTTGACGTACGTTGCATCTTCAAAACGGTTCTTCGTTGCATCTTCAAAACAGAGCAGTTGGCAAGGCTAAGAGAACATATATGTCGCAAAAGGCATTCGCATTTAATACTTTTTCGTTCGAGTCTGCAAATTTGTCGTATGAATTTTCTTAAATTTACATCAGTCGAGCTAAAATAC